TGTCTGCATATTTGAGACGGGATTCGTATTTTGGTAAACTCTTCACGTAGAAACCATTTCTACATTTTAAAAAAGGTAAACTTACTTCAAAATACAGAAAGCTTCCCCTCCACCATCTCAATTCCAAAATTAAATGGATTCAAATAGAATAATAAAAAAAACCCCACAACGGTATATTGGGATCATACCCCGGGAAGTCTGGAAAATGGAAGTCTTTGTGTGCATGTTGTGTAAGCGTTTTTGGGCTGAGCCACACATACCGCAGCTTCCGCTGTGCTTAAGATACGGACACGAGGGACTTCCGGGTGACGTGTGACTGCCCTGCCAGCACCAGCCCTTGGAGTAGCACCGTATTTGCAGGAAAGTTCAGCATATTCAGCCGTATTATGCCCTTACCGGATAAAAAGCGAGAGGCGGGGGAAGAGACCAGCAGTTTCGGTGGTGAGACTTCGCTAGAGGCGAGCACGGAGGGAGACCGGTTTGCCCTTCCCCTGGTCGGTTGCTGTCCCTGTAAGCAACTCACTACAGAGTATGCTTACGGGACTCATGTCCCGAACAAATACTTTTTCTGTGAATGCTATAACATTCTGTGCGTTTATGCATAAACCGTACAGGGCGGTTTACGTGAAACTATGATCTTCTCTCGGAGATTCTTTTCAAAGGTAACTTAAAGAAGAGTGGCTTTTGACCTGACTTGACAGGCTAAATCCCCAGGTAAAATGAGGCTCCCACTCCTGCTCGGCCCTGTTACGTTTGGGAGCTTTATAGCAACACGTTTCAGACCATTTCAGGTGCGCGAGAGCATTGCCACGAAGAGCGGGGAGACCTGCAGCGGGCCAGGGACCGTATGGCTAGAATGTGAAGGGAGCAAGTGTTCCTACATGAGCCTCATCTGCTCTTACAAAGTTCATTACAGTTGACGCTCGAACCGAGTGGGGGTTGGGACACCAACCCCCCCGCACAAAAATCCGCATGTAACTTTTGACTCCCCTAAAACTTAACCGCTGCTGGCGGGAAGCCCTGCCAAGAACGGGAGCCCTTGATAGACACAGATCTGGTATGTGACGCGTGTTGTGTTCTGGATTCTTACAATAAAGCTGGAGGTGAAGAAAACCGGAGGGGAAGAGCCGGCTACATCCCTGTACCGTATCAAAAACCGCAGCTGGAAGCGGGTCTGTGTAGTTCAAACTGGTGTTTCTCAGGGGTGAACTGTGAATTCTTTGTGTTAAAGTAGAACAGTGGGGGGGTTTGCAATAACGGTAAGAAAAAAAGAAGCGTCTTTGGTGGGGTTTCTATAAATTTAGAATCTGTATATAATAAATCACGTGAATTTTCTCTGGTTAACGTGTTGTATTCTCTTTGGTTATATGAAATCCACTTAGCTCTATTGGTAAAGACGGAACTCAGTAGTAATGCTGAGATTGTAGGGCAAATTATGGTTTACTGTAATGGTCTTTTTGAAATCACAGCCTTCATATTTAAGGATCAGATTTGTGAAGAATATTTGAAGTAACCAGTTTTCTTAGAATAGTTTATGTCGAGTTCTTTAAGGTAATTCAGTGATTAAACATGAAATGTTGTAGGGCCATTAAAGATCTGTGTACTCTCACTGTGCTACCTGGTAGATAGGTTCAGCTGTACCTAGTGCTTAAATTTATATTCATAGGATTCCTGCAAAATTAATGACAGGCTTATTAATATAAATTGCTGTAGATGAATATGTGAATATTTATAAATACCATGCTATTTTATGTAGTACCATCTGTAATTAGTGCTTAAAGTTGTTACATATTAATTGTATGTTAGTTCTTGTCAGTTCCAGATCCAAAAAGAATTTAAAGGTGCTTATAACCACATGCCTCCTGATGCTTATCTTCCAGCAAGGTTACTTCCCTGTGAACCATCAGACATTTTGGAAAAAAAAGCTTCCTTTTCCATTTTTTATTCCTTTTCATGTTGATTTTGTGTAAAACTGAAATTGTTCTGGACTCAAGACAGAACTATAAGGTCCGTCCTGCTTAGAGCTGGCAAAAACTGTAGCACCATCAAAGTTTAGCTAAACAGTGTCTCGCCAAAGAATAGCCAGGACTTTATTAATCCTAACCCACAGACCACTTTTCAAACCATACTTTCCTCACTGATCTGTGTACCTTTTCTTACAGATTTCCATTCTTAAATTCTTGATCCTATTTTGTGTTCTTTTGTACCTTTAAATCCTGAATTTGCTTCATTTTTTGGTGCCATTCTTTACGGAACTTTCTCCCACCCCACTGCAACCTTGGAATCAAAAGTAGAATTAAATTGGGGCACCTGGTGGCTCAGTCGTTTGAGCGTCCAACTCCTTGATTTCAGCTCAGGTCATGATCCCAGGGTCGTGGGGTCGTGCCCTGTGCCAGGCTCTGGGCTGAGCGTGGCACCTGCTTCAGATCCTCTCTCTCTGCCTCTGTCCCCTCCCCCACTCACATGCATGCGCTCTCCCTCTAAAATAATAAAAATAGGATAGTATGGAGTGTGGCCTTACCTGCCAGTATCATGGTCTTTGCCCTTTGTTGTCCGCTATGCCTACAAAGGACTGAGGAGTGATTTTATTAATTGGGAATCTAATCAACTTAAAACTTGGACATCTCCACCCAGGGAGAGATCATTAGGAACTTGGCCAGTTTCACCAGTAGTTCATTTTTTCATTTCTGGCACAGAACTTGCAGACTTCTGGTATGTAGGACATGGAGAACAAATTTATCGGCAATTTAAAAAATATCTACCAACTGTAAGTCAACTCCCTCCAACGTTGTAGGGTGGTTTTGCTTTTGTCTTGCCTCACGGCCACCGTCACCATTTGCTCCCTAGAAGCCCAAGCAACATTCACCAATATGCCTTGGAGACAATTAGCCTCTGGTGGGTTCTATCCCCAGAAGGGGAGGAGTTTATCGGTGAAACTTTTACTTTAAGCCTGAGGCCTTTTCCTGTTAGGTCAAGTGACTTAAGTCAAAGAGAAATACTAAATAGTCCTTACTCCCCACTGTAAGTATCAGGTAAGACCGGACCTCTTTCCCATCATAGTTAATGTGGAAGTTTTTAAGTGTCGAATTCTGCAAGAATTTTCCTTCAGAGTCGAATACTCAGTAGCCATAGCACCTAGTCCGAGTAGCAGGGCCAAGACATTAATGACTGGCTTAGAAATGACCATTGCTAGTGAGGTAATTAAGAGCAGTATAGGCAGGCAGGGGTACGTTTTCAAGTAATGCAGTATTTTCCCCGTTGAGAAGTTTTTGGGAAATGTCTTGCTAATTGCTGTTTCCATTTTTAATCATTTTTCCTCAGAAACCCACAATCTGCCAAAGCAACCTCCACTCGCCCTAGCAATGGGCCAGGCCACACAATGTCTAGGACTGATGGCTCGGTCAGGAATCGGATCCTGTGCGTTTGCCACAGTGGAAGACTACCTACACTAGCTATGCATTTAAGGAGCTCACGTGTACATTGTGGCATATAGTCAACCTGGAAGTAGACCAGCTCTGCTGATTTGAAATTTAGATTTTTTAATTATGTACTGGGGACAGGTTTTTGTCGCTTTACATTGCTTCCTAGTTTACAGCATGATGCAAATGATTTTCTAACTTGGTGTTAGGAGAAATTATTTTCCATCTTTAACCTCTTAGTTGTCTAAGAGTTCAATATTACTGAATTTCAGACGTTCAAATTGATCATCACAAATCCTTTAAAACAATTACCTAAAAGAAACCAAAAAATCCTGCCGCCTTTGTTTGGGGGAGAGGGGGGAAGGAAACGGAACCAGTTGTGTTTGTGTTAGCATGTGGGTGATGTAAACTTCAATTTGGGAGATGCTCCGACCCCCGCTCCCATATAAGCATTCAATCAGTGTAACTTGCAAAACGCATAAACATCCGACAGTTTGAATTTATAGTGTTGATGGAAGAAATCATTTTTAATGTGTACTGTAAAACTTGAAATACTCAGGAGCTGAGTGAATATGTTTGTTGCTACTTACAATCCCGACCTGTTAGTCCCAGTAGTTTTGTTTTAACATGGTCTTTTTCAACTTTGTTTCCTGTTTAACTACAGACGACTTCTGTTGTAGACTCACAAGTTTAACTGTTGTATTATAACAGTATTACATGTCAACAGTGTGGTTATGACCTTTATTTATATAAAAACCAAATATTTAGTCAATTTACCGTGTCTTAATTTAATCTTTGTACACCTTCCATTTTTAAGTGCTTAAATGAGTACTATATTGCAATAAAAATGTAGTGATATAATTAACCAGCCATTAAAAATTTACTATTACAGATACTAGAGTGTCAATTGAATTTATATATTAGGTGCCTGCACACTTCTAATACAGAATTAGAGCAATCCTCTAAATCTGAGTTCTGCAACGCAAGACTGCCTTCGGCTTACTGGCCTCCCTAGAGTAGGGTCAGGCCTGATGCTGTGGGTGCTGCCGCAAGAAAACAGGCAATTCATCTCCTGTTTCTGTAACTACAGTAGGAACGATGGCACGTGGCCTGCCACCAAAGCACACCCGCCCAACCTGGTTAGAAGTAACACTTAACCAAGATCACCAAATCCTACGGCTAATGAACTCTGCACGGAGGCTTCCATCTTCCTCGAGAAGAAATACTTACTGCACTGAGATACTGAGCTTTCAGCTACTTCCCTCCTGTTCCATAGCCTGGGAAACAAATGCCCCTCAGAGCACCAAAACCTCTGCGAGACCAAGGCAGCTGAGAGCTGCAGCTGAAAACACCCCAGGGCCCACTTCTCTCACCCTGCTGTGCACCCAACACCGCAGGTGGAAGACGAGCTTTCAATTAAATGCGCAGACGCTCATAAAAAAGGGAAACCATTCTTTTGAACCGGTTTGTCTTCCAACGTCTTCCAACGTCGTTCTCAGAAACTACGAGGCAGGACTGTCCTGAAGGATGAGAGGTGAGGGGGTACTTCCCCCAACAGACCTACGAGTTTTGCAGTAAGCCTTCAAAACTCTTTATAAATCATTTATTAGATCTTTTTAAGAGCATTTTCTAACCCAAATAACTGAGTCCTATACATACAAGTTCTCATCCTTCATTTACTTCATTTGATTTACTTCTTAGAAGTTTTCATCTTTCTGACCATCCACCGTCTTTTAAACCTCTTGGCATTTTGTTTTTTCTGAGTTCCTAGAATAGAAAATTTTCTACAGTAAGAATATTGGATACGAAATTCGCAAGAAACAATTCCAAAGTTTTCAAGATTCTATGAATGTAAACACTAATCAAATTGTACAGTAGATATACCACGCTGAGCTATGTTTTAGAAGCAACTTCAAGATATTAATACAGAAGCCACTGTAAGGAAAAAATGGATTATCTCACAATTATTTAAGTATTTACTACCTCCTTAAAAGAAAGTGTGCAATATATAAAAAGCTGAGGGAGCGGAGCTGGATCTTACCCCAAGCATTATTCAGAAACTGGGCTGCAGCCTTTTTCACTGGTAACCTCTTATGTTCAAGAGACAGGAACTTATTTACTAGAAAAGAGAATTATCTATCACTTCTTTGTTTAATTTGCAGTAAAAAGTGAGACAGACGGTCTGTAAAGAAATTACCAGTAGTTCTGTTGGTTCCTGGACCATATAAAGAATTCTGTACAAAGGCTTCTGCTGCCTGCTGTCTTGAATCTCGCAGATCTTGACCTTTTAGCCTTAGAGCCAAGTAGCTTTTATCCTGGCTGGTGACAAACACAAAAGGTCAAAATGAGCAAATCTGAGAACATGCTGAGTTTGAAAATAAAAAGTGTTTTGTTAGCTGCTTAAAGTGAAAAGGGGCGCCTGGGTGGCTCAGTCGGTTAAGTGTCTGGCTTTGGCTCGGGTCATGATCTCACCGCTCGTGAGTTCGAGCCCCGCGTTGGGCTTGTGCTGACAGCTCGGAACCCGGAGCCCGCTTCGGATTCTGTGTCTTCCTCTCTCTCTTCCCCTAACCCACTCACATTCTGTCTCTGTCTCTCTCAAAAATAAACATTAAAAAAAGAAAAAATTAAAAAAAACCCAAAATCCTAATTTTCTGTAAGTGCAGATCGTGAATAAAATGACATCCCTGGGCTATTTTACTACACACAAATAGACTAACGTTTCCATTTTAGGAGGCAGAGGTCTTATTTTTATGCAAATATCAGAACTGGTTTTCCCATAGAGAAGGTAATCTGAAACTACTATAATGAAACTATTCCCCCCGCCCCAGGCCAATACTCTCTCTCAAGTCAGCTTCACATTCTCTGAAAAGAAGAAAGACCCTCCTTACCCGACAGACTGTACTTTTTGTACTTTAGCCTTCTTGGAATCACTTCCTTTGTCACAGTCTTCATTTTCCTTCTGCAAATTCGCTAAAAAATTGAGTTTATATATGTAAAACAAAGCAGGAACATTTACTGGACTGTACTTTAAACCTCCACTAGTACCAATCTGGGTACAATCTTTATTTGTAAGAAATAGAGACAACGGGCCAAGCTACGCTTGGCCGGGCCTATTCCCACACTCTCTCCGGGCCAAACATTTGGCTGCAAATATCTGCAAATGTACCCGACACTTACAAGAGAAGTTATTTAAATGAGAATAGTTCATACCTTCTTTCAACTTTCCTGATGATTTCTTGATGCTAAGGAAGAACAATAAAAACACTGATTGGTAAGGCAGATAGCAAAGATGACCCCACTGGTTAACACAATTTCATCTGCTTTTACAAAGATCTCCCCTTTGCATTACCACCGCCCTCGGTTTTTACTCAGGATCGTTAATCAGTTTTGGAAGCAAAAGCCCTCCCCAGGGCACTGCTACCAATTCCCAAACTAGTAATACGCTAGGAAGGGAGTATCTTCTCAGAAGTGAAGATCTCAAAGCCTATGAGCAAACTTCAGCAGAAGCAGATTGCTGTGGTTAACAGTAAAGTGAAAGACTTTAGGAAAAACGAGTTCTGTAATACAGTATTCAAAATACAAAGTGAAAACGTGGTAAGACCGCCTCGTTTTACTCGGAGGAATCACAAAGGGTTAATTCAGCAGTTCAGACACAAAGACAAGGATGGAGACCAGGACTAGCCTGGAAGAACAGTGGTCTAACGAGAGACCAATGTGAACTGACCCGAGAAACACAACAGGAGACTCCCATGTGGAAACACCAGCACAGGAGAAAAGCTACACTAAGGATCTGAGCTTGGTTTTTAAGGAGGAAAGGGGAATGTGCCCCAGGTAACAATTGTTAGTATGTTTACTGGTAGTGTTTACAGAACTTGAATAGCTCTTTGGAAAAGCCTTTTACTGAAAATTTTGAGAACCGCTGGCCTAGGCAAGAAATACAGGACTAGGGGTGTCTGGGTGGCTGTCCACTAAGCGAGCGGCTCAGGTCATGATCCCAGGGTCGTGGGATTGAGTCCCAGCTCGGGCTCCTGAGATTCTCTCTCTCTCTTTCCCTCCCCCTCCCCTCCCCTGTCTGCACGCTCTCTTAAATATTAAAAAAAGAAAAAACTACAGGACTAAACTTCTGAACTTAATAAAGCAGTCAGGAGAAGCCAGGAGAATATGAAAACATTGCCAAATATCTGGCAGTCTAAATTTATTAAGGTTTGATTTCGAGGGCTAGAGGAGGACGAGAACTACTGCACTGGCCTTTACACATTCGGCACAGGGCACAGCTGCTAAATGAGAGGAATGAAACAGAAGCCGGGGAGCAGCCAAGGCAAGCTGTCGAGGGACAAGAGGAGCCTCAGAGCCTGCGGATGTGCCTGCTACTCCACTAGCCGATACAGTTCAAGACATCATTTTACTCACCACCGTCTCCCCTGCCCTTAGTACAATGACAGGAGCACAACCGTCCCCTGACTGAACACACTGGAATCAGTAACTCGGAGGCTAGAGTTTGCTGTGGGAATGAACACAAAGTGGTGGGGCACCTGGGTGGTTCATCCGACTTCGGCTCAGGTCACGATCTCGCGGTCCGTGGGTTCGAGCCCCGCGTCGGCTCTGTGCTGACCGCTCGGAGCCTGCTTCGGATTCTGCGTCTCCCTCTCTCTCTGCCCCTCCCCCGCTTGCTCTCTCAAAAACAGACATCAAATTTTTTTTTAAAAAGTGGCAGAAGACTGAAAAGTGGAGTTAATTCCCTCCACCTTTCCCACCAAATCCAGCCACCTACTGTGTAGCTTTCTGTCTTATTCTCTTTATTATTATGTGGATTCAAACAAACGTGTATACCCGTATAGCATCCAAAGACAGGTGTCTAAGCAAGGCGTATATAACAAGATCTATTACTTACTTAGTCTGTCCGGCTGTAGTTAACTTCTCTAGAATGTTATCCGGAAGGAGTTTCCTTTTCTTAGATTAAAACATTTAAAAATTAATCAGAGGTGAGATACATGACACACCCTGGGCTGCTTCTCAAGTTTCTGGCTCTAAGGACACAGCTGTACACCTAGAGCAAGAAATGAATTAGGCTGAACCCTCCCTGCCCCTGCGATCTCTACGCTGTGGAAGGAGTGGGCCCAGGAAGCTCAGAACCTGTAACGCATTCTTGGGAAGACTGAGCCAAGACCGGGAAGGCTGGCCCCTGTATTCCACCCCAGAGGTCACTGTTCTGCGATGAGCGCGGTCAAGTCACGTCCCTCTGAGCGGGCTGTCTGTGGCCAATCTGCCAAACGTCAGACGGCAAAGCAAAGATACTCCAGGTACAGCCTTCACTTTGCAGAGTACCTGAGCAACCCGATTTCGGGTAAAGAAACGACCTCCGCGAGGCTAAACGACCAGGCTCGTCACGGTGAGCTGGTACAGGGGGGAGAACCCCATGATCTCAAACTCCCGCCTCCTCCCACTCCCATTTTCAATCGGTGGACAGCAAAGAGCACGAGCGCCTTGGCTTGCGCCGCTGTCCCCAGAAACGTTAGCGACTCTCCCTGCCAAACCCGGGAATTCTGCCCCGGCCGGGGTGCCTTTGAAACGGAGACGCCTCCCCCAGCCTCTAACCTTTTGTTCGATGAACAGCTCCTCGCGTCGCTTCCTCTTCTCCTTCAGGAGCGTTTTGTCCCTGAGAGAGAGAGTGACAAGTCAGTGCGGGGCGACACGCGCGGGCCGGGGTTGGGGGGGGGGGGGGGGGGGCGGCGGCTGCTCCCGGCCGGCTGCGGGCTCCGAACCTGCGCACCGACTCCCGAACCCGCCGCTCCTCCTCTCGTGCTTCCGCCTGGGCGCTGGCGAAAGTCAGCTCCTCCGGGGCCTCGTCGTCTTCCTCGTCGTCTTCCTCCAGCGGCTCCGCGGCCGCGCCGCTGCTGGGCTGCCCGAGCAACAGGCCGTGCTCCGCCTCCTCCTCCTCCTCCTCCGAGGCGGGCTGGCCCTCGTCCACCATCGCCGACGGCGGGACGCGGGACGCGCGCGGCCGCAGCTGCACCATGGCCCACACAGCGCCCGGCCGTCCGGCCTCTGACCCGGAAGCAACGCGCAAGCGCCGCGTGACGCAAAGAAAGAGCGACGCGAGTCAGGCCGCCCCCTGCAGGTGCAGATGCGAAGACGGCCGCGCGCCAGCAGAGGCGCAGGCGCAGAAGGAGGAAGGGCGTGGCCTAAAGAGAGCCGGCCGGGTTTCTTTCCTCTCCGTATGCAGGATGTTTTCCTCGCCTGGGATCCCACCTGGATTCCTCTCCGCCCCGCAGCAGTGGCTCGCGCTCCGGCTGCGAGAGCGGGCAGGGATGGGGCTCGTTTCCAGGAGGGGAAGAGCCATCGTGAGACGTCCTCCGCTGGGAGGCTGGCAGAAGGATTGGCTGGCTCCCCCTCCCCCCCCCCCTCCGGTCCAGTGGCCAGCTATGCCAGCCAGTGCCCAGAAACCTGTGACCGCAAGCCCCGGCGGCCCTAACCTACCACGGGGATCCGCTTGGTCCTGTTAATCTGAAAAAATAACACTGCCGGTTGTTTTACCAGCGAAAAATGGGTTTATTCAGGAATCGTAGAGAGTTGCAACCCCCGGCAAACAGGCGGTAGGCAAAACCACAGCAAGTACCCCCAAAGCGTGGATCGCTCTTTATAAAGGAAAGGGAACCTTTGGGTGGGGCTGTTACAAACTAAAAGGCCATTGGAGTAAACTGGGAGTTCAAACTATAGTGGCTTCTCATTGGGCGAGTTGTCACGCTGTCATTGGCTGGGCTGTTGCTGGGGGAAGAGAAAAGTCTCCCTCCTGTGGGCTGTAATAAAGCTGTCTACACCTGCCAGGTCCGCTGTTGGATTTGCAAGTAAGGGCAAGTGGTAGAGCGTGAGACCGCCCTTGCCCAACTTCCCAGCTCCATTTTAGTGAGGTTTCTCTTTATTAATTTTCACAGTCTAATTAATCAGTATTTGTAGAGTCAGCTCCCTTCACTCCCTGCACCCCAAAGAAGTGGCATTTCGAAGGGAAGAATTGTAGCAATAGGACCTCCATGCCTTCCAGTCCTCCTGTCGCCAACAGGAACAAGTTGACAGATGCAGGTTTCAATCAATCCTCAGCACCGAACATGTGCTTGGCAACCTCAGCCACCAGGCTCCCCTGACCACCTGCCCCCTGGACTGTCCACGCCTCTGTTCATCGTTGTTCGTCAACACACTTCTGACAGCTGATCATCGGGCACCCCTATTAGGATGTAAGCAATGTGAGAATAAGGTCCTGGTCTGGTTCCCTGCTTTAACCCCAGGAGCCTTGAACAGTGGCGGGTGGTCGCAAATCCTGAATCTGGTAGAAGAATAACTTCACCGTTACTTAGTGAACGGAACCCGAGTGTTGTTTATATTCTCCGCCTCCGGGTATATTTTGTCTCTTGGCACACAGGGCCCTTCCTGATCTCTGTGCTTATCTTCTCCCACCCATTGCACAGCACTAAGTGATTGGTCACTCTCTGAACAAACCAAGCTGTTTCACACTTGCTATGCATTTGTACACGCTGTTTCCTTTTCTGATACTCCTCCACGTGGAACTATTTATACTTCAAACATTGCCACCAAGGCTGACTTCCTCTTAGATTTTTGTTTTAACCTTTATTTATTTTTGAGGCAGAGAGAGAGACAGAGCATCAACGGGGGAGGGTCAGAGAGAGAGGGAGACACAGAATCCAAAACAGGCTCCAGGCTCTGAGCTGTCAGCACAGAGCCCCACGCGGGGCTCGAATCCACGAACCACGAGATCATGACCTGAGCCGAAGTCGCAGGCTTAACTGACTGAGCCACCCAGGCACCCCAAGGCTGACTTTCTCTTAAAGTGCCTTAATATCTACCCTATCCCCTCTCCACCCATCTCTAATTGCATTCTTCCCTGAATCTTGGGCATATTACTTCACTGTAGTTGCCACACTGTAAAATAGTTTACGTAACAGTTGTCCCAACCATTCTGTGAACTCCTGGAGGGTAAGGTCCATATCTTGCCGATCATCTTATTTCCAGTGTCTATCATATGGGAGCCATTCAGTAAACATTAAATTGAATTAAATAATGCTACCTCACATACATTTTGTATTTTCAACTCTTTTTTTCCATCTTCTCTAACAAAACCAAAACGTGAACAAAAATGAAAAAACACGAATCAAACTAAAAACTAAAAATAAAAAAAGCCACTGGTGCCAAAGGCCCAGGAGGAGAAGAGTTGCAAAGAACAGTTCCGAAATACGTGGGCTTTGGTCAGATAGAAATTACAGGTTAAAAATGTAATCAGACTCGCGGGGCATGCCTGAGTGGCTCAGTCAGTTAAGTGTCTGACTTTGGCTCAGGTCACGAGCTCATGGTTCATGGTTTCGAGCCCTGCATCAGGTTCTGCGCTGGTGGCGTGGAGCCTGGTTGGGATTCTCCCTCCCTCCCTCTCTGTCCCTCCCCCACTTGCACATGTGCGCACTCTCTCTCTCTTGCAAAAAAACTTGAAAAAATATATATAATCAGACTCACTGAGACAGTATGCTGACTTCTGACATCGCTAACCCTAGGAAAATGTATGCATTTAACTTTGAGAAGCCCAACAACAAAACTATTAAAAGTGAATGATGAAAAGTGGGAATCGAGCCCTCAAGATGCTTGGCCGGTCTTTCAGACTCCTTGTGGGTTATGAACACCCCTCTTGCCCAAGCAAAGAACCTCTGGGATTTATGAAAAGCTATGACTTGCAAATGCAGTACAAAGTTTTATGTGACCGTGTCTTGTCTATTTCTACGAAAGCCAACAGTGTAACATTAGATGTGGTTTTGTAAGGGGCTGAGGCAACGTGGCCCAAGTGTGTGATCACCCAGGGAACCCACCTCATCTAAGGGACCCAGGTAGGGCTGACTTCCCTCCACTGTTTCCTAAAGACCACTCTTCCCGGTCAGGCCAGACAGCAGGCATTCTGGGACCCTGGGTGTGGCATTAGATGGTGAGGCTTGAGCAGGAGCTGTATTTTTACTACTTTACTCCAAGGTAGAATGGGCATAATTTTTTTAAAGTCCACAGGGAAAAAAAAAAAAGCTTCAGAATTCAGTGTCTGGGAAAGCTTGGTGGACTTTTCCACCATACACAGACCATTTGCTTCTGTGTTTATGTTATTGAGAAACAGCGATCACGTCCCCCTTTCCTCCTTGGCTGCTAAGAAGGCCAGCGCTCAACTTTAGGCAGCTGTGTTTGCCCTTGGAGTCCATATATTTGCATCGTTTATTTTTTTTTAATCCGGATTTTCTATCTTTTTAGAAAAATTTTTTAACATTTTTTATCTTATTTGTTTTTGAGAGACAGAGACAAAGCGTGAGCAGGGAAGGGGTAGAGAGGGAGGAAGACACAGAATCTGAAGCAGGCTCCAGGCTCTGAGCTGTCAGCACAGAGCCCGACGCGGGGTTCGAACTCATGAATTGCGAGATCATGACCTGAGCCGAAGTCAGACGTTCGACCGACTAAGCCACCCAAGTGCCCCCTGATTTTCTGTCTTGTGCTACTTTTCTCTTCCTTCCTTGCATGACTTTTTGTTGTAGGGTTATCCCATGCACTGTGAGGTAAGACAGACAAACGAGGAAAACACCGAAAAGGAAAACCCCCCCAGCAAAGACATCTCTTGGGGTAGCATCTTTATACAATAAATCACCTACCGTAGAGAGTGAGTTTATTTTCCACCAAAACTTGACAAAAATTAGAAATACCAAGGTCTGACCCCTCTACTCCTATCTTTGCCCAGATAGCAACAATAAAATCAGCACAACTGCTTCTTTAAAAGAAAATCTAATCACAAAAATATCCCCTTCCAATAACCAACCAAACACATCAGAGATATCCTGTGTTTAAGTTCACACAAAATAACATTGCATCAACTCCACTGTTCATTGACTTCTCCCTCTAACCACGTTTGCGATTGTTCCTTCTAAACTGCCATCACTTATCATCAGGTGGGATTCCAGCCAGGGTATCGGAGGTTATTTCTAGATTTTCTAACATTTAGCTCACCGTCCCCATGATTGTTTCGCCTCTGTTTGTGGCCCGGTACTTAGATGTGCCACAATTTCTTCTTTCCCCGGGACAATTAAGACACGTTTTCAGTTTCATGAGGAGCAAGGGCTTCGGGAAGAGTGGTACCGCAAGGCCCCTGGAAGTGAAACCTGAAACAGGACAAATACAGCAGAGTTAGGAGCAAAATGAACATACGACTTCAGCTGCTCACACACTGCATGGTTGTATCCAAAGTAAAATCCCAAATCTCACAAATACGGTATTGTGAACTTTGTCCCCACTCTTGGCAAACTAGCTTCTGACAATTCTAGATGTAGACATTTCATTACAGGTCGGCCACAGAAATCAAGGGGATTTAGTTAGGAAAGGAACAGCCTAGAATTCAGGTGCTATAAACACGAATTTTATTTTAAGGGGTAGGGGAGACATAATTGTAAAGTGCATTTTATGACCGTACTGCCAACCTCATAACTGAAACTTGAGTTTTACAAAATCTATATACTACATTAAAAGAGCATTTTCGTGCACTAAAGACAAGAGAAGGGCGCCTGGGGGGGCTCAGTTGGTTAAGCTTCCAACTTCGGCTCAGGTCATGACCTCACGGTTTGTGAGTTCGAGCCCTGCGTCGGGCTTGTGCTGACAGCTCGGAACCTGGAGCCCGCTTCGGATTCTGTGTCTCCCTCTCTCTCTGCTCCTCCCCTGCTCACGCTCTGTCTCAAACAAACAAACATTAAAAAAAAAAAAAAAAAAAAAAAAGACTAAAGAAAAATAACCTCATGGACCACACAGACCATGAACATTTTAGCTGAACAGGCCCCTCAAGCGATCCACTGGACTTCACGACTAACTGACGTATATACAGTCAGAAAGGAGAAAGAAACAAACATAAAGAGCAAACAGCAGGGACAAAGAAGAAAAATTAATGATTTCGGCTTCCTTTGAGGAAAAACACAAAAAATAAGCCCAACTCTGAATGCAGGATTAGGAGAATCCTGTAAAAGTAGGATTTTCTAGTATGTTAATAAGCAAGCCAACTGAGCACAACTAAAAATGGAAAAAGCACATGTTCGATGTAATTCACCATTCATGCTGTATTTTTTAAAAATTGTTTAAAATGTTTACTTATTTATTTAGAGAGAGAGGGACAGAGAGACAGACAGGAGAGGGGCAGAGAGAGAGAGAGAGAGAGAGAGAAAATCCCGAGCAGGCTCCATGCTGCCAGCGCAGAACCCAACGCGGGGCTCGATCTCCCGAATTGTGAGATTACGACGTGAGCTGAAACCAAGAGTTGGATGCTTAGTTGACTGAGCCACCCACGCGCCCCATATCGTTTATTGTTGACACAACACAAATTGTGGACGCCTCAGACCTCAAACAGTCTTGTCTCTGGACAGAGTGCCGCTAACGGATGTCCCCACCCAGTGACACCTCCACTCCTTCCGGCCACCTACAGTATGTTGGACACTGGCTGCCAGAAAGCTCCTCACCTGCACGGTTGAAGCCCCTTGAGGACCTTCCAAAAATGCCAGCCAGGCACGGAGAACTTACAGGGAATCCCCGCAGCCTCAACGGCTGAGAAAGTGGCCTTTCACCTGCCCCTTGCCCCGTTCAGTTTAGAAGGAACACTTTCCAAGAGCAAGCCGAGCCCCTCACCCGCCTGGAGCCTTCCCACGATGCCTTATCACAGAACGTGCAAACTTTCGAGAGGCCAGATAAAGGGGCGTTTGAAATGTTGGTGTGCATCTCAGAAAGCAAACGGTTTCCGGAGACGGGGTGACGACACATCCTTAGGCAAGTAGGGGCCACTCCGTTCCTGTCTTCGATAAAACCGGATAGAGCATCTGGCCCGATAGGGCCGTCGACGAGATCACTAAACGCGATTCAGAAACAGTGTGCCCTCCCAGCCCTCAGACTAGAGAGAACAAGAGACGCAGAGAAAGCCAAGCGCAAAGAGAAAACGGTATTTTTTCCCAGGAGGAGCTGCAAAGGATCCTGACAACCCCCCTTCTCTGCGTGACTGCTGCTTTTTGTTGTTGTTGTTGTTGTTGTTGTTACTCAGGGAGGAACTTTGTTCTCTAAAATCATAAACTGCCCGAAACTGCTGTTGGAAATGACAGCGGTAAAGGGTAAGTATGCTCAGAGGATCTAAGTCACCGTGCCACTGACCAGCAGCCTTGACTTCCAATCCCGGAGCAGACCTTCAGATAAAGGGCATCCGGACACAGCCTTCCACGTCTACCTTCACTTTGCAGGCTCCAGGGAAACAGGACCCTGTGCCCACGCTGCCCGCCAGACTGCACCTGACCCCCTTCCACACAGCCCTGCTTGCCGTTCCGTCTCCCCAAAACAGCTTTATTTCAATTTCACCTAAGCTCTACCCTCCCTCCAAATCCTGTAGTCACGGCACCTTTTCCTTCGCATGGGGACACGCACCGTGTCCCCCTGGGATGCGGTCTCCCTCATTTGCAGAGAACCAGTAAACTTGATCTGACTACAGATTTGTTTCTGGTGACTGCCGGTGGATTGGGCAGGAACAACATAAACTGTCTCCTTCTAACACTTAGCCGGGGACACGGGAACTAATCCAAAAAGTTCGTGGCCCATGCATCTACTAAGAGATGCGTTTTGGGGCACCCGGGTGGCTCAGTCAGTTAAGCATCCGACTCCGGCTCAGGTCATGAGCTCACAGTTCGTGAGTTCGAGCCCCGCGTCGGGCTCTGTGCTGACAGCTCAGAGCCTGGAGCCGGCTTCAGATTCTATGTCTCCTTCTCTCTGACCCTGCCCCGCTCCTGCTCTGTCTCTCTCTGTCTCTCAAAAATAAATAAAACATTAAAAGATGCGTTTCCAATAACATTTCACTTTTATGGAATTATTAGTCAAAATTTATTATTTATGTGTTGTTTTCAACAGCTATACCACAAATTGTTGTAGCGATGATTCAATCTGGAGAAATTTTTCAATAGGACAGTCTTTAAGTTTTAAGGAAACGGAAAATAAAAGATTCATATCATATTGTGCTACAGAAATAGAGTAGTTAACAAAAAATATTTTTAAGCATAAAAATATATTACATTAATATGAATTTATATAGTGAAAGAACGGAAATAAAAGTTCATCCCGTCTCGGCCTTTTGGCTAAGATCAAGTGTGGAAATAAAAGTTCAAAGAGAAGAAGAAAAAACGTGAAGGCTGTGGAAAAAGGGGGCAACCTGAGCATCTTAGTCAGCGAAGCATCTGACCTTGATTATGGCTCAGGTCATGGTCTCACGGTTCATGAGATCGAGCCCCACTTTGGGCTCTATGCTGACAGAAGGGAGCCTGCCTGGGATTTTCTCTCTCGCTTTCTCTCTGCTCCCCCCGCCCCCCACCCTGCCGCTCATACTCTCTCTTTCGCTCTCTCTCTCTCTCAAGAAAAAAAAATTTAAAGGAAAGGGCTTGTATATCTATTTTGTAAACAGATGACGGTGAGTATCAAGCAGTTGTGACACTGAGACTGGATACATTTAAAATCATGAAGGGGCGCCTGGGTGGCTCAGTTGGTTAAGTGACTGACTTTGGCTCAAGTCATGGTCTCGCAGCTCGTGAGTTCCAGCCCCGCGTCGGGCTCTGGTGCTGACAGCTCGGAGCCTGGAGCCTTCTTCGGATTCCGTGTCTCCCTCTCTCTCTCTGTCCCTCCCCCGCTCTCTGTCTCTATCTCTGTCTCTCTCTCAAAAATACATAAACATTAAAAAAATAAAAAATAAAACCATGATAATGGCGGATTTGCTTATAATGCATTTTTATTATAAAATTTCAGTATTTTATTTCTAATACACCTAGAATCACATGGTTTTCAACTCCAGTAAAACCTTGGTTTGCGAGCATAATTTGTTCTGGAAAGATGCTTGTAATCCAAAGCACTCGTATATCAAAGTGAATCTCAAGAACCATTGGTTCAGTTGCGATCATGTGACGTTCGGCTTCACCTACGACTCGTGTTGTGAGACATTGCTCGTTCATCAAGTTAACGTTTATTAGAAATGTTTGCTCGTTTTGCAGAACGCTGGCAGAACAAGTTACTCGCAATCCAGGGTTTTACTGCATTCCGATACAGAATGTTAGAAGTCAAGTTGAAAAAAATACAAAAGTGCTTGAAGACTTGTGCTGTAGCAGCCCCGTGCACCACCCCGCCTCCCCCCCAGCAGCGGGCGACCAGGTCCACTGTGTTCGTTCTGGAATCTGTTCATGCCACTTCTAACGGTTACTGTGATTATCTACTTCAAGTAAAAATTGTGTAATAAATCCCCAAAATATAGTTGTGAAGAGAGGGTTATTCCTAGGAAAATTTGTTGTTAGGCTTTGGAAAGGCACAGCAGGTCACTGAAAGTAATTCTGTTAAATTAGCATAGGTGGCAAAGACTAGGGAGGAAGCCTGCTTCACAAATTTCTTTTCTGTTAGTTCTGTAATTTCTTTTCTGTTAGTTTTCCCCTTCTAAAAAGGAAAAAAAAAAAAGGCAGGAAAATACCTAAACCAGAGGCTGTAATCCGGTGTCTTCTAAGACTCCCTGGTGAGAACAGTCACCTGGGCTGCTGGTCAAATAAACAAATAGTCCTCTCGCCACGGAAAGTCTGATTCAGGAAGTCTAGACCAGATCCTTGGGATCGGACTGTTTTTTTGGTGGTCTGTTATGTTTTACAAAATAAGGGTTAGGGTGACTTAAAAAAATTTTTTTTTTGAATGTTTTTATTTATTCTTGAGAGAGAGAGACAGAATGTGAGCAGGGGAGGGGCAGAGAGAGAGAGGGAGACACAGAATCTGAAGCAGGCTCCAGGCTCTGAGCTGTCAGCACCAAGCCCGGAACGGGGCTCGAACTCACGAACCACGAGATCATGACCTGAGCCGAAGTCAGATGCTTAAACAACTGAGCCACCCAGGCGCCCGATTTTTTTTTTAATGTTTATTTATTTTTGAGAGAGACAGAGGCAGAATGCGAGTGGGTTAGGGGCAGAGAGAGATGAAAACACAGAATCCAAAGCAGACTCCAGGCTCCGAGCTGTCAGCACAGAGCCCGACGCGGGGCTCGAACCCACGAGTTGTGAGATCATGACCTGAGCCGAAGTCGGACGCTCCACTGACTGAGCCACCCAGGCGCCCCAAGGGTTAGGGTGAT